CTTCTTCTTCTGTTAGTGGGGCTTGGAACTCATTCTCAGGGGCTCTGTCCTCTTGCTCCTGGCTTCAGGGTAGGAATAAGCTTCCTGAGGTTTCCAGACTGTGGCAAGTTTGAAGAGGGTGGCCCTCAGGCCCCACAAACACCCCTTCTTCTACACAACTCCTGGGCTCCTTGTTTTAATACTGAGCAGGGGCAGAGGCCGAATGAAGGACAGAAGGGGAGAGTCAAAGGTGGCCATGCAGCAAATGAAACTTCCAGAGGGGAAGTGGGAGGGGAGAACCAGAAGTGGGTTAGGGAACCAGAACCATTAGCTTCTGAATCTGATCCTTTCTGGGTGTGGGGAAGGCCTGACACTACTCACCATGAGGCCTGGGGAGGGACTGCTTGTCTTTCACAAGGAGCATGTACTCTGGGCTTCATGAGCAAGAGCCTGGAGAGACCACACCCCAAGTGTGGGGATGCCAAGCCAATCCGAGAAAGCTTCATTCAGAACTAGAGGCCAGATGGTCAGTCTCCCCCTGTAAGCCAAGCCAGCATGGGGTGAGGAGTGCACCTGGGTGGCTTTGGCCTGCTGCCTCCTTCACCCCATCCGTGGCTGGAGGAGTGTGTTCTGTTTTGACCTGCCTTGGATTCAAAGACCCTGAAGGGATGAAAGCACACCCCGATACAGATTAACCCAGTGGTCCCTTCCCACACTTGTCTGATACTCTGTGGAAGCTGGGGGGCGGGGTTTTGTTCTGACTGCAGAGGAGGGGCCAGGGCTCCTGGTCTGGGTAGAGAGCAGGCTTCCGTGTGCCTGGCTGACAGGGAACCCGCTTTCTCACCAAACCTCGCCCAGGCTGTGCCCTCAGCCTGTGCCTTAACTAACTCTTCTTGTCGCTATATGGTAAAACACCTTGACGAGAGGAGCAAAAAGGAAGGAAGGGTTTCTGTAGCTCACACTTTGAAGGTACAGCTCCCATGTCGGGGAAGTCATGTAGCAGGAGCAGGAAGCTGCTGGTCAAACTGCAACGGAAGTAGAGAGAGAGATGAATGATGGTGCTCAGCTCACTTCCTCCTTTTTCATTCAGCCCAGGACCAGCCCACGGGATGGTGCTTTCCTTGTTATGACGAGGTAATCTAGGCCCAGAGCCTTGCCTGTCAGGTAAGTCTAGATCCTGCCAAGGTCAAATCCAAGATTAATTATCAGAGCCTGGTACCATGTCTGCAAGGCTTGGCTTCAGGCGGCTCCACACCAGGCCCCTCTCCTCACCCTTGCTTGGCTCTCAGTGTCTTGTCCACTCAGTCACGCCCCAACCTCCATCCTCTACTGGAAGAATGAGTGCATGGCAAGTCTGGGCTTTGGGTACAGTAACACATTCTCCTGTCTCTCCCAGGGAAGGCAAGGGAGAAGATGGAGTCGGAGCCCATCTACAACCTGCTGCAGCTCCCAAAGGAGGTGGCTCAGCCCACGGAGGAGGAGCTCCCACGAGGTGCTGGTCCTGGCAGGCCCAGGGTTGTTGGAGCAGGAGGTGGAGAGAGTCTGTGACCAGCTCACTAGAACAAGACAGGCTTACCTGGGGACTGCCCATGTAGCCATGTATCTGTCCATCTATCCACCCACCATCTATTCTCTATTCATCTTCCGTCCACTCACTCATCCGTGAGTCATACATCCATCCCTTCATCCACACACCCATCCACACACTTATCCCTCCCTCATTCTATCCTTCACTTTCTCCTTCTATCTCTCCCTCCCCCCTCCCTCCCTCCCTCCCTCCCTCCTTCCCTTTCTCTCTCCCTCCACATTCATTCACTAACTCACTTATGTCATCAGGAGCAGACCCCAGCACATGAGTGCAATAGTCTATTTATTGTCCCATCAGGACGAGTATGCTTCAAGGTTTTGGGAGCTCGAGCATCGAGTGGGTCACATAACAGGTTATATTTTATGAGCTCGGGCAAGTGCTGACTCAGTTTCTTCATGTTCACTGAGATCAGCTGACCTTTGGGCCTGATGCTTTGTGGGTCCTAAGAATTTAAAATGTTGGGAGCCTGCTTCCCAAGGCCTTAGGGAAGAGAATAGCCACGCCAAAGTGAGCGCAGGAGGCCTCAGTGATAGACCCTGACCAGAGCTGCTTGGCAGCACAGGTGAAGCCCCCCTGAGCCTGGCAGGTCTTTTACTCCTCTGGGTTGTTTCTTCACTCTAGGCAGGTAGGCAGGGTTTCTGAAAGATACTACACATCTATCTGCTTCATGACCTTCAGAGTAAAGGGTGACCTCCGGGTGCATGCCCTGTGTGAAGTATTCACGATGAAGTATGAGTGAGAAACAGGGCTAGGCTCCCACAGGGACCCGGGTTCAGTGGGTGACTTGCAGGGAGACAGCTGCCAAGTGCCCTCAGGGTCCTCACATTCGTCACACCCACCTCTGCTTCCAGGAGGAAAGAAGAAATACCTGTCCCCCATTTCCCGGAGGGACCCCAAGTTTGAAGAACTGCAGAAGGTATACCACCATCCCGAGCCCTGAAGTCTCTGGAGCCAGGCTTGGGGCCCCTGACTTAGGGACATCACACTCTTGTCCACACCCGACCAGACACCACACTCCTCCATTCCGACAATACACGCCTACTTTCCTCCTGAGACCTCCATGCTTCTACAACCCTCTCTTGGAGGCAGCCTAGGTGTTATAACCAAATTCCTATTGCCAGCTGTTGCCATCACCGAGTTGGCATGCCCCCATGCCAACCCCATGCTATGCCCCCATTTTAGGTTTTTGCTACACAGATGGCAATCCCCAGGTGCCGAAACCTCACAAACCAGAATTATAGCTCCTCATGGCAGATGTCTGAGAGTTCTTGGGGAGGGGGGTGGTCTCTGTGAGTGCAGAGCAGGCTCCTCGTGGCCAGGGAGAACTTTCTGGAAGGTGTGCTACTTGACCAGGCCTTGAGGAGGGGGTAGGAATTGGTGGGTAGGAGAGGTCACTCTAGCCTGAGGTGGGAGCCTGGTCAGGTGACTCCTGTCTTTGTCAGCTGTCCCTCTGTGACCGGCAGGTGCTGATGGAATGGATCAACACCACACTCTTGCCAGAGCACATTGTGGTCCGCAGCCTGGAGGAGGACATGTTTGATGGGCTCATTCTGCATCACCTGTTCCGTAAGCAGAGGCTCCTGCCTTGACCCACGTGTGTTCCCGAAGCAGCTGCTCCTGGGGCTTTGGGGTCCAAGCACAACCACCTTGGCCCCTCAGGTGGCTTCCTGCCTCAGTCCCCACCACAGCCCCCCTGGGGTATGCCTAGAAGTGATGTCCAAAGTCAGGCCAAATGTCTGCCTCTGGCTGACTTTTCTTATCCATGTTTGGTCCGAAGGTGTCTTGTGCAAGGAAAGGGATCCTGGCAGCAGTGGGGTCCAGAGCCATAGTCTCAGAGCCTGTTCAAGCCACAGTTCTACAGAACTTGGCAGATGGGCTCCAAAGTGATCCTCCAGCCTCCGCTGAGGCTTCTGGGTACTTCTTAGGGCGTAGGCACTGTCAGCTTCCTGCACAGCTCACTGCTATTCCTCTCCCTGGCTATGGTGAGAGTGAGGCTCCTAGGCACAGAAGGATACAGCCATCTCTCAGTGTTCAAGAACGCAGGGCTTGGGATAGTAGCCTAGGAGTGTAGGGCTAATGACCAGGCCATGCTGCCCCATGGGAATGGCACAGCCACAGCAGTGCAGAGACCAGCAGGGCAGAATGGTCAAGGTGAAGTGGGCCAGAGGGGAGAGCCCAGAGGGCTGCAACCTCACATACATGGTCCATGTGTCCTGTTGGCTCATTTCCCATGTGGACGGGAGCTCCTTGGATAACATGTATGTTTGGTTGAGGCTTCCGGGGTTGCCCAGGGCCCAGCACCATATATCCCATAGATCCATATACTTCAAGTTCTGTCCAGGCTTATCCTCACAGAGGGTCCCCACGACACTTGACTGTCCTTTTGCCACCAGAGAAGCTGTCAGCTGTCAAGCTCGAAGTGGAGGAAATCTCTCTGACCTCAGCCAGCCAGAAGCGCAAGCTGGGAGTCATCCTGGAGGCCATCAACCGGAGCCTGCAGGTTGAAGAGCAGCAGGCCAAGTGGAGTGTGGAGAGTATGTGGGGGATGAGCCAGGCCTGGTACCTGGGAGGAGAGGGGGGCCAAAGGTTATGACTTTCAGGGACACAGCGCTGCAGAGTCTAAGAACACACTACACTCCTCAGCCACAGTCCAGCATTCTCTCTCTCTCTCTTCTCTCTCTCTCTCTCTCTCTCTTTCTCTCTTTTTTTTTTTTGCCTGTTAACAAATGAATGTGCCATGTGCACATTCTTCCCATCTATCCTCCAGACCGTTCGGTATTCTGTCTGTCTGTCTGTCTCTCTCTGTCTTTCTCTCTCTCACACACACAACACACACAGAGAAAGACAGAGAGACCACCCTACCTGTATCCATGTCTGTATATGTCTGTCTTTCTGACTTTCTGTCCTCTCCTCTAGCCATCTTCAACAAGGACCTGCTGGCCACCTTACATCTCCTGGTGGCCCTGGCCAAACGCTTCCAGCCGGACCTGCCCCTCCCATCCAACGTGCAGGTGGAAGTCATTCACGTTGAGGTACCGGCTAGGTGGCGGAACGGGCCAGTCATCTGAGAATCCTGCTCCATAGGGGCTATGAGGATGTTATATTAGGACAGCAGTTGGTGGGGGGCGGGGCTCAGGGCTGGCAGAGACCCGGAAGGGTAGGAGGAGGGCCCTGGCCAGCCAGTGCTGCTCTGTCAGCTCTCCCCGGCAGAGGCAGGGACAGGTGCTCCAATAGGGAGAGCAGCTGGTGCCACCCCATTTCCTGGGTCATAGGTGACTGTCTCTCCATGGCCCCTCCTCAGTATAAAGCCTTTTTCATCTGTCCCCCATCATGACCACATCCTGCCTCCACTTCTGAGAAACCTTTGCTCTCTGGCATTGCTAGCTGGTGTTCTATGGTATGTGTGTGTGTGTGTGTGTGTGTGTGTGTGTGTGTGTGTAAATATGTGTTGGTACAAATGAACTCGAAAATGTGTGGTTACCTTTGATTTTTTTTCCCCATTTATGTACGTGTGCACACGCATGTGTGGGAGTACACACAGGTCATACGGGGCTTATGAAAGCCGTGGACAAGTTTCAGGAGTCAATTCTCTCTACCATGAGGCTCTCAGGGATTGAACTCAGGCTGTCAGGCTTGGCAGCAGAGAACCTTTACCTGCTGAGCTATCTTGTCAGCCTTAACTCTGATTTACATGAGTTTGAGGAAGCCATGAAACTGCTCAGTAGTGAACTTTCAGCAAAGACTTGGAAAAGGTGAGAATGGGTTTGACCAGGCCCACCTAGACACAGCTGATTCTGTAGGGCAAGGAGAAGGAACACACATACACACACAGACATACACAGACACAAACACACACACACACACACACACACACACACACACACACGAAGGACTCTAAGAGATCTTAGGAATGAGGCATCCATAGTGCTATCCTCATGGGTTCAGTGACCACGGGGAACGTGAACAATGAAGCTGGCCCACAGAAGAATCCTGAGCTGGGACAAAGTGGAGTGTACTGGGTCCTTTAACTCTGCTCTGCCCTGTGGACTTGGTTTTTGCCTGTCTCTGGGGTCACACCATTTCTTTCCCTTTCCCTGTTGTAGAGTACCAAGACAGGCCTGAAGTCAGACAAGCTGGTGGAGCAGCTCACAGAGTATAAGTGAGTATGGGCCAGGCCTTGGCTGGGTAGGGGGCGCAGGGGGTGCTGGGCCAGGGAAGTCCTCATTGTGCTGGCTGTTTCTCAGCCCGCAGCAGGCCACAGGGACCCCCAGCTCTGACAGCCTCAGCCACACAACGTCCGAGTCTTCTGAGGTGTGTGCACCCAGGGCAAGGCTGCCTGCCTCTCAGCCTTTGCTTTCAGGGTCTCTGCGCCTCCCCTGCCTTGATTGCCCAGGAAAATAAGCCCATCTCCTTGCCGCCTGCTGGCAGTGAGCTTGTTACATTAGGTGATGAGAGGGCCGCAGACTTTTTGCTAACTCTTCGATTGCTTTTCTGTCTCCCGCAATTTCCCTTCTAGCTCACACAAGGAGCAGCCTTCACGTGAGTAATTTCATAACTGAAGGAAACCTTTCCCTGATGACGGGTTTGAAGCAACTGTGTTGGGAAGGTTAACTGTAGTCTGTTACTCTGCCGTGGCAGGATCTATTCATGAATTTGTTATTTCTTCTGTTTGCCTGGCCTTTTGCTGCCTAGTACTATTTCCTCATCTCAAACACCTGGTAAATGACGCCTGCTAAGCTGGGTCATTTTAGAGATCCAAGTGAGTGACGGGCACACATCCCAGTGACTGCGGTGGGAGAAGGGGGTGGGTAGGTTCGGGGATGGATGATTGGGCAGATATATATCTGACTGGTTTGTATATCCACGGATAAATGGATAAATGGCTGTGTGTATGTACATGGACATAGATAATGAATGATGGATGGATATGTGTGTGTGTGTATGTGTGTGTGTGTGAATGATGAACATGCATGTCTGTGACGGGTGGATATATGTGCATTTATGAATGGATGGATAACCCATTGGGTACTTAGTTCTATTCCTTTGAGGACAGACCCACAGTCCACGAAGCGAGGGCAACAGGATATTGATGTTGAATGCCGCTCTCTCACTCGTTAACCATGTAGGCTTGGGGAGGTGCCTTAACCTGTCTCTGCCTCAGTTCCCTCAACCTGGAAGCCACTCTCTAAGCTGGAGGTGAGGGCTAAAGAAGGCAATCTGTGGGTGTGCACAGCACACGGAGCACTCTCGATGGTATGTGGGCAAGCACATGGCTGCTGCTAATGTGACGAGCAGTACTCCAGTGGGTGCACTGCCCAGCTGTCACCCTGTCATTTTCCTGTTCCTCAGTCGGCTGGTTGAGTCAACTATGCACCCACTTAGTCATTCATGACCCTTTTTTCCAATTATCCGTTTATCTACCCACCCACTTATCTTTCTGTGATCTATCCATCCATCTATATACCTGTACAATCATCCTCCCATTTATATATCCATTCAGCCACCCAGCCACCCAGCTGTGCATCTACTTAACCATCTAGCCACCTATCTAGCTACCTATCCATTCATCTAGCTAGACATCCATCCGTCTGGCTATTTAGCTATCCAACCATTTATCCATCGACCCAGTTATATGCCTACCCAACCAGTTATCCATCCATCCATTCATAAATATACATATACCCATCCATCGCACTCACATATCCATCATTCATATATGATATATATATATGAACATATCATCATTCGTACATGCACACACATAGACCCAACCACTTATTCGTTTATCCATCTATAAACAAGCCAGTCAGATCTGTATCTACCCAACCATCCATCCCTCCATCTACCCACCTACTTATCCCACTTCAGTCTCTGAGATGCCTGTCCGTCATCATTCCCTTTGATCTCTAAAACGACCCAGCCTAGCAGGCATCATCCACCAGGTGTTTGGGATGAGGACACTGAAAGTACAGAGGGAGAAGCTCCTCCCACGCTCAGCCAGAGAGCAGTGTGTCCCAAACCCAGGCCTGTGTCATTCAGGAACACGAAGAGCAAACTGAGGCTCCCGTGGGGCTGGTTATTCTGAGAAACTTTTGTGCAAAAACATTCTGTTTGGAGCAAAGATAACAGTATCGTAATGAGCTGTTTATCACTCTGGTCTGCAGAGGACGCCTTTGATGAATTATTTAAGCTGGCTCCAGAGAAAGTGCATGCCGTCAAAGAGGTAGGGCAGATCAAAGCTTCCCACCCCCACCACCCACCTGCCCGTGTCTCGGGGTGATGGGGGAGGACACAGAGCTCACTCCATGCCTGCTGGGTGCTGGGTGCTAGCAGTTTGGAAGGTGGCATGAGGGTCCCTGAGTGGTGTCGAGGTTCTTACTTTTCTGTCTCAGGCCATCGTGAGCTTTGTCAACCAGAAGCTGGAGGGCCTGGGCCTGTCTGTGCAGAGTCTGGACACCCAGGTAGGGGCATTTCTGGGTCCCCGTGCAGGGAAGAGGGTTTCTAGGCCCTAGAAACTCACTGTGAGACTGGAAGAGAGGAGCCAGAGACCTCTCTAGTGGGGTGTGCTGCTGGCAGGCAGCATTTACAGAGAGGGAATCCCTGGAGAACCCCAGCAGGGAGGCTGTAGGAAGCTGTGAAGGCTGAGCCACCTCTACTGCTGGCTGCATCGTTTTTCAGAATGGCTCCTAGGACACTCTAGGGCACACTGCCGCCACCCCCCCCATCCCCTTGATCATGTTTATTCAGGTGTAGCAGTGAGATTCATGACGGGTCTATTTCCTAGGTTGTTGGTGCCAGGACTGGTTGGAGGGGCTGGCATAGCGCCACCATCTTTCCATCCTCTCAAGCCCTGAGGGCTTTAGCCAATGTGATGACGCAAACTTAGTTGTCCTGAGGTGGAAGTAGAACCCTGCATTTCCAAAACACCTCCCCTAGCCATGACCTTCCATGGAGTTTCTGTGTCTCCAGGGATCCCACAACAAAAGGGGAGGAGACACAGAGATCTGATACTACCTGACATACTGGCAGCATGGTGATGGGGGGCCTCCACAGACTAGCTGTCTGCCACAACTCAAGGCCTATGCAGAATCTGTTCTGCCCAGAGCAGAGTATTCTCTGCCATCAGCTCTGCGACTCCCCCCACCCCAAGTTCCCCGTAGATGTGAGAACTGATAAAGTCCCATTCAATAGATGATACTATTAAGGCACAGAGAGGCTAGGCAACTTACCTAAGGTCACACAGTGATTAAGTGGTGGTCCTAGGATTTGGGTGAATTACCAGACCTTTCTGAACCTCAGGCTCCTCACTTTGTAAAGTGAGATCAAATCCAGCTCATGGAATTGTGAGTTGGGGAGCATTGCTCTTTAGTGTCATTCAGTACCTGTGTCACCTGACTCACTGTGGCTTTTCCCCGAGCAACACACCCATCTCTGATTGTGTTTCTACAGGCGGATATAGGACCATGTCTCAAGTTTACACTTGTCCCTCATCCTTCTCTCCTTTGGTAAAACAAGAGCGAGCAAGCAAGGATCACAATTAGACAGATTGGGGGGTGGCAGAGGAGGCCTCGGAATTGGGTTTTTCCAGCTACATTCTGAGGACAGCAGCAGAGAAGCTTCCAGGCCCAAACTAATAACATCAGAACAGACTTAATCGGGGGAAATTCCATTAAAGACAGAACAGCGTCTTTCCGAAGCATCCAATCTCCTGTGCTTTGTATCTTTGAAGAGATTCAGCAGGATTACATTAGCATATGGTGTGCTCACGGCAGTGTTATCTTAGGGCATTCAGACAGAACAGACAGAAATATTAATGGGCCCGTGTGCCCGTCTTTGCCTTTCCTGATGGGAGGATTTTATGCTAACTCTGTTTTCACACATGTATCTGTAGTCCGTGGGATGTCTTGTCCTTTAAAAATGGACACGAGGGGTGTGGGAAGGTGGCTCAGCTGGTAAAGTGCTTGCCCGGCAAGCCAGAAACCTGGGGTGTGGTGGCACGTGTTTCTCTTTTACGTGTGTGGGTTCTGCCGGCATGTGTGTATGTGCAACACATACGTACGTGCTTGGTTACTGAAGAGGCCGGAAGGAAGTGTCGGACTTCCTGGAACTGGAGTTACAGATGGTTGTGAGCTGCTGTGTGGGTGCTGGGAAGCAAACCCGAGGTCTGTGTAAAAGGAGAGAGTGGTCTTAACCACTGAGCCATCTCTCCAGGCCCTGGGCACACATTTAATCCTGGTTATGAGGAGACAGAGACAGGAGGGTCCCTGGGGCTTGCTGGCCAGCCAGTCTAGACTACTTGATAAGTGCAGGCCAGTGAGAGATCGCCTCCTCCCACCCCCAAAGAGGTGGACGGTTTCTTTGGGATAATATTCTAGGTTGTCCTTTGGCCTCTGCATGAACATGCATTTATGTGCACAGTTATCTGCACATATGCAAGGTTGCACACACATGAACATACACATATACAGAGGTAGGTAGGTAGGTAGGTAGGTAGGTAGATAGATAGATAGATAGATAGATAGATAGATAGATAGATAGATAGATAGATAGA